ACGTTTGAAAAATATTTTTGTAGGTGTGCTACCACATTTACATTGCAAATTATATCAGCCATAATATTGACAAATTCTTCATCAACACTGTCTAATTGGATGGGTATTTCAGATTCATTAAAAAATTTTAAAATCTGTTTTGTGAAAATATACATATGAGAATATAATGCATACACGGAGCCAAAGCACTCGTCACTTGTATCTATGTAATTCCCAACATTTCCAGTGAAAAATAGTGATCCATTAATATAGCATGCCAATTCACAACATTTAATTGCTTTTGAGTGATCAACACCATTTGCACATTTTATTAACTCATACAAAAATTTAATTGGCAAGGTATTTTGTTTTGTACATGATAAGAAATCTTCAATAAATTGATCTACCGTACTTTCTACATGTTCTATATCAACATCCATAGTTTGTAGGTAATTTGTAACAACCAAGCTACACCTCTTCATAACTTCATCATCATATGCATCTATCATATTATTCAACACTAGTTTCCAGGTTAGACTGAGCTCTTCTTGGTCTCTACATTCACCGTCTTGTGATTTTTCCAAATATGTACATATTAAGCATTCCATTGTGTTGAATATGAGATCAAGGTGGGAATTGACAAATGATTGGTCATTTAAATTTTTTTCAAATATTTGTCTTAACATAATAACTAAAGAAGAGGTAGGGTTAGTGTGTACGGTTTCCAAAAGTACTTTTGTCCATTTCTCACATACAGTGTTATCTAAAAATACAACAATCATATTATTAATGTACATATTATGTCCAAGATTAAAAAAATCACCTTTAAGTTTTAAACAATTTGTAAGGAGATTTGATTTATTAAGATCTACATCAAAAGATATGAATTTTTTAAATTCGTCTTGCATTGGATTAGTCTCCAACCAATTGCAAATCACCAAGGGCAAAGTATTTCCATCGCTAATATACTTCATAATTTCTTTAAGAACAACATCTGATCCAAACTGAACAAAAAAAAATCATAAATAAATAAATGTTTAAAAATTATTTTATTACAAAACATTATAATAAATAATAATGAGTACCAAATTTAAGTCGGCAATCATATTAMTTCGTTCATTCTCGCTATCAATGGTTTCCAATAACCCAATAATTACTGATATTGAGTTATACGTCAAAACTTTATCATCATTAATCCATGTTTTGACGTATCTTTCATATAGCCTGAACGATGATGATGTATTATCATTTGAGCCAGGTAATGTTTGTGATAATTTTTGAACGACACCATTATTTTTAAATGCTAATATTACTTGACACACGTGGTTGGCAWACATATGACCTACTTCTGGATAGGAAGTTCTATCTAAATAGAACTGTAAAACCACATTAACAAAATTTGCCAAGTCATTTTGATAGTCATTATTGAATAATGGTTTTGATGGGAGTAACACTTCTTCAGATTCTTCAAATGTTACTCTTAAATTTTTTTTCTTCTTTACCACAGGATTTCTTAAATGATTCAACACAATTAAATGTACTTGCAACTGAGTTAGGATGTTCTCAAAAATAATTTCTTCATCGAGACCACTTCCGATCAAGAGAGTACTTAAATTATTCMATATTGTAGTTTTTAAACTATTTAATTGATTGTTTTTAGTTAAAAATTCTAGGAATACTGCCAAATGAGAAATAACTGGCGGTGTCATAGTTTTTGCTAAYTTTCCAGTAAGACTAAACTTAACCAAAGTTAAAACCTATTGAAAATAAATTATATAAGTATAATTATAACTAAAATATTAACTAAAATAAAGAGCTTACTTCAGAAATCACTGTGTCACTAAACAATTCATCTTCACTATTATTTCTCAGAATGAATGTAACAAAATCAAAAAGAGTTTCAATACCAGAAACAAAATTTGTACGGTCAAAGCGGTTAGACATTTTTTCTAACCTAGAACATAAATCAATGTAATGATTCAATAAAATAAATCATCGGTGTTTAATACCCTTGTATTATTGAAGTAATGCACTTTAAATAAAATTCAGTGATTGTTATAGTACACATGACTGGACTATTTTTACATAGTTCTAATAAATTCTCATATGCAGATGAAATGCACCCTTTTGAGCAATTTAAAAGTTTCCATAGTTTAGGCAGGAAAATTTTTTCAGCATTTGTTTGTGACCAAAAGTAGTTCAACTATACACAAAATACAATTAATTATAATTTAGTTCATAAAGGTAATATTTGTGGTAAAAGTTTTACCTCGGGTTTTGATAAAACAATTATAATGTTTTTCCAAATGACATTTGACACGGTGATATTATCTTCATCAATATTATCAAACACAGCAAAAGCCACCTTTTTACATTCGCTTTCTAAAAATTGTTGCAATTTAAGTAATATAGAATGCAAAAGAGTATACCAAGCTTGTCGAACCTGTAGATAAACATTGAAAGATAATTTTTAAATTAATAAAATTATCATATAAAATAATACAAATCATACACTTGGTGTTGGATGTTTATTTAACTTCCAGTAGGTAGAATTAGAAAGCAACATTGATTTCAAATCACTTTCAATATTTTCAATATGTTCAGCTGGAAGCGAATTCAAAAATGTTGCTGTTGCATATAAACAACTAGTAGCAGTTCTAATTTGCATTTCCTTTATTTCATCTGAATCGACTCTATCAAATTTAAAAACATAAATATAAAGGTTTATTATGWAATCATTACTCTATACTTACTTAGTATTTAACAATGATGGATTAGTTATGTTCTCAATTAAATAATTAAATATTTCTTTTTGACAAAATACAATTACTTCAGTTCTTTTATTTGGAGGGAAAGTATTCTAAATTATAAAGTTCATCATGAAAACAAGTTTACATTCATAAAAATATAGATATACAAACCTCGAATGTGGAAGATGCAACAGATGCAGTTGGTGGATGAGTGTCATACTGAGCCACAAACCAATGGGCAAAAAACCTTTTTAGAAATGGCGCTACATTACGTTGTACACGGTTTAAGTATGATCGTAGAGCTTTCTGAGTACCTTCACGTATACGTGGTTCATTATCTTTACATAAATTTACATATTGAGCTATCCATGGTGCCGAAACTTCTCTAACAGTATCTTCATCTTTAGAATCACACAACGTAGAAAATTCTTTTAAGGCCTAAAGAACACATATTAAACGTGAACACATTTGTTTGACTTTTAATTGGTTACTAATTATACATAATATATCATTACATACTTTGAGTTTAGTAGTAGAATCTTTTTTGTTCATTTTTTTCAAAGCCACTTGAAAATCTGGACTGACATTGCAATCCAAAATATCAGCAAAGGGAAATTTAAGCTTATCTGGAACCACTCCATATGTATCAGTAGTAYTCAACAATAACTGAGCTCTTGCACTGCTTGATGGCTAGAACRAAAACATTAATTTGCAATACTAATTTAAATATTACACCATATTAATGAGTAATGACATATCAACTTACTTTGTAATTATTTTTGACCCTTTGAGCAACTTGCTTCTTCCCCATTATAATATGAAAATGTAGGTAATTGTTTTTTTAACTAAAAAATTAGCGTCAATACGTTTACATTGACAAATTTATTTTATATTATCGTGCAAATCGTAAATAGTTGTCAATTCAACTCTAAACAAATAAATACATATAAATATATATATATGTATATATATAATAAAACACTTTATAGGAAAAAAATGTTCACAACTATAMTAAWTTTGTTTACAAATTACATAATATTAACATTATTAAGAATAAGACTTCAGTGAATCTCAGTGTTTTTCGCCAAAAACAAAACTTTATCAAATCTTGTGGAGTTGTCAGACACAGCTGATAAAGATAATACACATATATATAAATATACAATGTTTATCTGTGTTGTCAGAATTCTGATAATGATATATTGTGATGATATTCAACTCGCATGGTAGTAGATTAAAAGTTAACCACAACCATGGTTAATTTTTATCGATGCGCGCTATTTTGATTTTTTAGTATTTCACAATAAATTAAGTACCTATTCAAATGTAATAATATCATTTAACATTTTATTATTCATTTAATCATTTATAAATAAGCCAGTTCAAATTCAAATGGAGTGGTTTCATSAGTGTATTGAAATTATATTTGTAGGGAAGTCCATCCAACACTCTTTAAAAATGACGATCCCAATTTGTATGAATAGCTCTACGAAATCCGAAACTAAATTTTAATATTTTTTCTCAACTAAACCGAACCATACATTGAAATATTGTTGAGATAATTCAATGTTAATTTAATTCAATTTTTCGTTTTTTGGATTTAAGACTATGAAGGAAATTAGAAACATTTTCTAGTATTATTTTTTTTTTAAGTTAAAACAGTTATACACATAATATGTAAAAATCGAGTAACTACAAAATAAAWGTTGTTTACAAGTTATTTTTGACGAAATATARGAAGCACGGGCKAAGATATATTTTAGTCCGTAATAAGAAGGCATAAATTGGAAATCATCGCAATATCTCCGACCAGATAAGAATATTCATTTATTGAGTGACATTATTGGTCACTTAACAAATGTTAATGTCCTTTACTTAATCTTCAATAGGCAAGACTAAAATACAGAGGCACCTACACTTTGATTAATCGTTCTAACCAATAAAATAATATGGTAATACAACATCGAACATCATGTTATTTACTAAATATACACATTATAATGGGCTACAATTAATGAAGGAATAACAAATATTATTAATCAAACTTAATTGAGAACTCAGTTCCACAACCGTAATTATGTGATTACATTGTTAATCATTAATCATACAGCCTATTATTCAAATATTAATTAAAATGTACACAGTACATAATTTAATTTTAGTCAAAAAACTTGTTCTAAAAATATTCATTTAATTATATAATTAAGAACAAATCAAAGGTATTATATATTATTAGAAATAAAAATATTTAATGTGATTTAWTTWAAAAAAAACTCTTATATAACTATTACTACTCGCATATCTGTATTATGAATAACATKAATAATTCAAACTTAATTATCATAATTTAATACCAAATATACTGAATACACCTAAAAAATAATAATTTTACTAAATAGTTTACGTTATATTAGGTATATAAAACTATATATTGCGTTCTTCTGGCTTTTTGTAAGGATAATCTATATAATCGAAAATATCTTCTTCACTGTTTATCACCACAGGTTCACCTGGTATACCTGTTATAATGACAGAGCACATTAATACAATTATTGGTTTACACAGTTRCTTATAATTAATGGTTAATTAATAATTCCATACAAAATGTTACCTGTAGAACCCATTGGCCGCAAAGTATATTCATTAAGTGTAAAACCTCGGTTTAAAGCATGCTCCCTCATTTTCTTATTAAATAAATCACTCCCAGTGAAATAAAGAACAGCACAATAAAATTGATCATATGGATTAAGTCGAATGTCTAATCTTCTTGCTATACAATTCACTTTGCATACTCCCTAATTTAAATGAAAACTATTCAATAAATAAAATAATTGCCCACATAAAATACATTTTATTTTATTGAAAATAAAAAAATGGAAASATTATTTGTAACAATAAATAACCATTCATTATTCATATTKKTTAGATGTAACTATTTTTTAAAACTAATAATTGTATACACTAAATAAATTATAATTAAACATTTGTTATTAAAAATTATTGAATATTATTTATTAATAAAGCAATCACCATAAACTTTGTTTCTCCCACTGATATAGTTTCAGTGATGAGGTTATTTTTTTTTAGAACATCCACAATCACTCGTAATTTATCACTTTTTTTCTTAAGATCCTGAGACATAAAYGATGGATGAGATATCAAAGTATCAATATCTCCACTAAACGCTTTACCTCGTCTAAAATTTTTAAAAAAAAAGTAGAATAAATTTTTTTATAGAAAAAATAATAAAATATATTGTGGTATTTTTCCTACATGTAGTCAAACACCAAAGTTTTTTTGATATGTTAATAACTAACCTATAACTGCCACAAATAGTAACTTTGTATTTAGGATCCAAATTATGTAATRTTTTCTTGATGATTTGTTCTACTTCAGAAACTTCACTTCTTGGTATTTTTTCTTCAAAGTCATTTAAATATCTAAATGTATTGATAAATTATTATAATTATATTAAAAGAGTTTTAATTAATTAAATTAATGTACTTCAGTCCTATGATCTGATGATGATTTAATTTATCTTGATTTTTTAACAGAATGTCAATATTTGTAATACCTAAATCATATAATTCTTTTGCTTTAGCTGGCCCAATACCACTAACTCTTGTTAAATCTTTTATAGAAACTGAAGCTTCATCATTTCTTATCTGTAATTTAAAAATATAAAATAATGATTATAACTTTTTATAAAATAATTTGTCCTGATTAAACATTACCTAGCCAGAAACTAATGAGTAATTAATTTGATCAGTTGTTTTATTTTTTGATGTAACATGCCCTAAAAAAAGATTTTCCAAAATTTGCAAAGATTTTGCATTTTGTAATTTCCAAGATTTACGGTGGAAATTGAATTTTTTTGGTATATAAATGGTTTCAATTAGTTACTCAAGTAGATATGATGAAATATGAGTCATAATACTTACAACTTTTTAGAACAGTATCCAGAAACGACTATTTTTATTAAATAAGGTACTTATTATAATTATATAAAATTAACAAATAGTTATGAATTTATGATCAAAAGGTAATATTTAGTTGTAGCATAACAACTGATAAAAAAAATAGCAAAATGGTTAAGCCAAGTTATTCAACTAGTTTTAATAATAATAATAATGCAATAAATAGTTTATAAATTTAAATATAAATTATACATTATCCAGTTTTTTTAATTTTCCGGTTTCTAAAAACTCATCAATTTTCTTGGATATTTTATCRCCAATTCCATCTAACTTTTGTGCTTCCTCACCAGACTTAATACGTTTACCGTGCTTAGCTAATGCACTTGCTGCTTTTCGGTAAGCATTGCTCTTATATATATTGCGTGTAACATTTTTCTCATAATCAGCCAATTCTAAACAAATAGAATGATAAAAATAAATATAAGTAAAACGAAATTAAGTTGATCTGTGGCTTTGATGTCTTTTGTCTTGTTTTTTATTTCTCTATGATCAAAATTAAGAGTTAAACCCAAAATTTTTGTTGAGTAATTATATGAGTCACTTTAGTTACTAACCAATTAAAAATTCACAAAAATCGTGATTCGCATTTGTAGAATCACTTGGAGCTTTTCTTTTGCTCATTTTATTTTAAATCTTATAAAAAAAGTAGTTCAAATAAAATTTACAAAATCATTATTTTAACATGCAAACATTAAAGAAAATTAAATCTATCAGTTAACTTAGCAAAAACAAAGTAAATACTAAATTATTATTAAATATTGATGAAAGTATAGACACATTTGTAATCCTAAAACATCTTAACCAGACAATCAACTAAGTATAAACACTATAAGCCCAAGTTTATTATTTGAAAGTTTTAAATCAAGTTTTGGCCTTTCAAAAATGATATTTTGACAAATGATAATATTAATAAGATTGATAATGATAACAATATATACAGACTACAGAGTGTCCCATGAGGATTTACCCATTGCGAATATCTCCTGATTCTCCCGAAATAATGGTGATATCAAAATTCTGGTTTTATAATAAAACTCGCAGGGATAAGAACTACAATCGTTTCATATTTTAATTTATTTTAATGTTTTGGTAAAAAAGTTAAAAAATATATTTTTATATTTAACTATTTCCAAAAAAATTAAAGATAGGCATTTTGTAGAGTTTATTTTTCTGAAAATAATGGCGTTTCAAAATTGTATTTTCATGAATTTCCTGATTTTTAATATATTTTTTAGTTTCGAGAAAAATTGCGAATTATTTAACACCATAATGTTATCAAACATGTGACCCGCCGCGCCGCGTGCATTCCCATAAAATGGTCGGCTGAATATTATACTTTCCGTGTTCCTAATAGTAATAAATTTATAATCAAATTCTATTTCATCAAAACTAGAAAAAATATCAAAAATCAGGAAATTAATGGAAATAAAAGTTTGAAACGTATATTATATATTAAATAATAAATAAAATAAAAATAAAAATAATTATTGATGTTACATATCTTACAGTTATACAGTTATATCTAAAAGTAATTAGTTAAATTAATTTCTTGTGCCATTAACGAGAATTTTCCAAGAAAAATAACTCAATTAAATATATATAGATATACCAATATCCATTTATATTATAAGATATAGCATATAGGTGTATCGTGTATATAAAGATATACCATACGTCCATAACTCCATACCATACTGCGCATACGGGCATATTGTAATAATAATAATTAATAAATACTAACAAGTAATAACACTAATAACTAATATGATACCTATACTATCTAGTATCTTATTAGTTATTATAATATTATATTGTATTAATAAATCAAAAGATTGTATTTGTTTCGGCATTTTCAATTTTTGTATTTTTTTCTTACCTACTACATAATTCTATTAATTCAGTACCTATGTATAGAAAAGCTATTGGCATTTCCTGTCGTCAATAATATTTATTATTTTTATTATTTTAAATCATATTTCTGGGTATTTATATACAATATGTTATAATATGTATATAAAAAAAATTACTTAATTTCACTTAAGTTAATAAGTTAATTGAAAATGTTCATATAACTTTTAACTTAACTGAGTTAAAAAAAAATTAGGTTAACTGTTAACTTTAAACTTTTTCAAATRTTTTCCATTAACTTAACTTAACTCCAGGGGCGGCGTGTTATAAGAATACCAGGAGCGAGTGCTCCTGACTCGAAAATGGGTGGGTGTGTATCTACTATTCAGGGTTGTATACTTGTATGCTAAACTAATATG